GGATTCGAACCCGCCACCTTAGGTGTACGTGGCTGGCGCCTTAGCTGGTTGAGCTATAGGCGCCGAGCCCCAATAGATTTTTTTAATGAATGAAATAGTGAACAAAGAAAGAGTGATTTCTATGATACTTCTTGCTCTATAAGAGCCAAGTCATAAATGCTTAGTCACATTAAAGTTATTTTTCTAACATGGTACAGAAAGGTCAGAGTAATTGACAAGTACACATTGTCAAGATGAAGCTTTCTCATAATTTGTATAATTCATATGTAGCCCTAGCAAGTGAAAATTAATCAATGGCTGGCTCCTCTGTATTTCTATTTGCATAATCTCTAATTTATTAATTTTTTATTTTTTAATTATTTTTTATTAAATTATAACTTTGTACATTGATGCATTTATTGGGTTCAGGGTACTGCCTTGATATAGTAAAATGCTATACATTGGACTAAGTAACACATCCATCACAATTATACTCATTTCTTAATAGTTTTGAAATGTACCATTGCATCATGCACATTAGGTGATGTACCCCCAAATGCCCTCCCTTCTCCCACATCCCCCCTCCCCTCTCCTCTTAATGGCTCCCTGATAGCTTCTCTAATGTTGAAAGGCTTGGAGCAAGATTCAAGAACACAGGTGAGACAAAGAAGGCTGCCTTCTTCAGGAGTGCTAGGTAGCTCCGCCTCTAGGTGTGGCAGGTTCTCGGGCTGGCGGTATAGGGAGAACATGTGGATAACACTGGGAGATCTGGACCAGGCTGATGTTAGGAGACAATTCTAGGCTCTGAAAATGGAAGGCCCAGGAGGAAATAACCCGGGAAAATTGTACGGTGTCATGGGCCACCGTTTGGCCCATGATCTACAGCTTTTTGTCACATAGGAGTTGTAGAAAATCTTAACCCTAGACACAGATGCCACCCTGCTCATAAGTAGTCAGACCTGAAGTTTTAGCCAACACATTCCCATCCTCTCTTGCTCTTCCACACACCTCAGGCACTCACACATAGACCTGTATTCAAGATTCTCCTTTCAAAATGCCTGGGCAAGCCTTCCCTCCCTGAACTTTACTCAGATCTTGATGTTGTTTTCTTTCTTTCATGCCAGCAGCTTATCCTGCCTGTACACAGGAGACGGTCTATGTGGCATTACCACATTCAGCTTCGCTAAGGGGGATCATGATTTCCTGAGCACTCAACGTGCAGGCTGCACATGTGTATTGTAATGTCTGTTTCATTTGATCCTGAGCATAGCACTGTGAACTAAGCTCTGTTGCTATCCTTGCTTTCCAAATGAAGAGCAAAGATTAGGCATTACAGAATTGTCCAAGAAGACACATAAAAATATTTTTTTGAGTCCCTCTGCTCTACAGTAGAGTAGTCCTTCCAGCTCACTGGCATTGTTGCCGGAAGACAAGGGCCTGATGGAGAAGGAGAATCACCTGAACAACAAAATATGGAGGAAGGACTTTATTCCAGCTGCCAGAGCCATGGAGGACTAAGGTCCAAAAATGGCCAAGCTCCCCGACTGGCTCTGTCTTTTCCTTTTTATCTCCAGCCAAGGGTTCCTTGTCCACAGGTACCCTTGCCATTGGTCAGTATGACTAGAACTGGAGAAGCAGGCTCAGGTTTGTACAGAAGCAGAAGCAAGCATTGGTTTCCAGGTCCCATGAAGTTAAGTTTCTACAAATTCTTAAGAGCTGAGTCACTATGGGAGGACTTTGTAGGTGTGTCCCTGGGGCTTCTGTGAGAAGCCTTTTGTTTTTTTAGACTTTATTTTTTCTGGGTATCCTCTCTCAGCATGAGTTCTGCCCTGGTTTGTCCCCACAGCAGAGGGAGGCTGGAATTTCCTTTTTAACTGCATACATCCTTTTACTACACATCCCCATTCTATTCTTACTTAACAGCTTTTTTAGAAAAAGAAAATGGCTGGGGTGTAGGTCATTTATACTGTCTGCCTCAACTCTGACTTTCTAACTTTAAATGTTCAGGGATTTCATCTTCAGCTGTCAGCAGATAAAAATATGCTTCTATACAGCCATGACCATGACTATTTAAGGTGATGGGCAATGAGATGCCTGTCTAACATTTTATTGTTACTTACCACCCATAATCTACATTGTAGTATTGATGTGTTTGTAGTATTGATATCTTTTGAAACTCTTATTTCAAGCCTGTTCTTCAAGTTTAATCTCAAGGGCTGACTCTACTGTACGGTTTCTCTAATTTCCCCTGGATAGAGACCTCCTGTAATAGTTCAGTCCAGCATATGATTTCTTAAAGCACCTATTATATATCTAACACTCTGCTTATTAGGAACAAAAGATAAGAACTCTGTCACTGAAAATAGTAACAAAACACAACTTTAAAATTTATATGTAGGTATCAAAATATAATCTAATTATAGCATTTGGTACAAAAGCAGTATTACTGGTACTTGTTGGATGTTACAGTAAGAGAAAAAGTAGTATTTTTTTTACAAATATTTGGGTGGGGAAAAAGGCTTTCTGAAAAAAATTTTAAAAATAATAGATTAGTAAATTATGGTCAGAGAGATCATAACGTGAGAAGAAATACTCTAAGTAATGACAGTCAGGCAGGTCTTTGCTGTCTCTGTGTTCAAAATACTCAAATTTGGAATTGCACTACTCATCTTTGTGTAACATACCCTTATATTCGCTAGACATTTAAACTTCTTGAGAAAATACATCATTTCTGTGGGTCATGCACAATTTCTAACACCTATCATACATTTCACAAATTAGTTTGTGAATATCACTCTATATTCTATTCTTCTCTTAAAGGAACTAGCATTATTTTGGAGAAATGCTCATTTCAAGACTATAATAGCAAAAAATACAGTATAAATCCTTTTGTATGAAATGAATCTATGAATGAATACTGACATAATAGATCAATTAATGAATAAAATGAATAAGGGACAGAGCTTTCCCTTGATCCAATATGTTGCCTAATCAAGAGGGAGGGATGACAGAATTAGTCATCATCTGGGAATCTTTGCAGTAATAGTAATGATCAATTCAGGCCGAGACATCTTGAATGCTACACAGGGAGTAAAATCTAAGTGAGGAGCTGGGTAATCTTAGTCCTCACACCTGTCCCCACCTAATCTTCATTCGTTAACAAGCAGAAAAGTAATAACTTCAGAGAGGAGAAGTCCAGCAGACCCCCCTTTTATCAAGTGAATTAGTGGGACATGCTACGCACTGAGAAATTGGCTTGAAAAAATAAAAGCTTGATTGGTGGTCACATTGCAATTGCTGTGGTGTAAACACATCACAGCTGACTTCAAGTGGCCAGCATGTCACTGAGCAGTGTTGGGAAGTGATGTCAGTGTCAGCTCCTGCAAGTCGACTTGAGCCAGCTGCCTCCCAGCAGAGGAGTTGGTAGATAAGATGTCCTAGGAAGCATATGCGCATCCTAGATCAATAATCTAACTCAGAAGGTAAGGCGTGCATCTAATCGTGAAGAGCATCAACTCAAATTGAAAAGAAATTCCATAAAGAACTTGTTTGTATATTTTTTCATAAGCGTTGAGTTCATAAAAGACAAAGAAAAACCAAAGAACTCTTCCCGCCAGGAGAAAACTAGGGACATAACGCTGACTGCAGCAAGCAACCCCATTAGGGTCCTTTGCTACTAGAGCCGTTATGAGCAGACGGAGGAAATTTGAATGAGGTCAGTGGATTAGATGGTCATGTTGTATTGATGTTAGTTTTTCTGATTTTGAGAAATGTTTTAAGAAATGCATACTAGATTTTACAAGAAATAATTCATCATGTTTGTAACTTGCTAGCAAATGGTTTAGAATAAAATAATTTCACATATACATCTGTATATGTATAGATATATGTGTATATGTATATGGTAGAGAGATATTAATACCTTTAGAAAAGATAGTGGATATTTCAGAGTGTTTTACTTATATACTTGTTACTTTTAAGTGAGAAATTAAAAATTTTGAAGTTAGCTTTTAAAAATGCTTGATGTCAAAATACTCAAATTAGCCATGAAGTTTGTACATTTTAAAACATAATCAACATTTAAACTTCTTTCTTCCTGTGGTACTTTAAAAATATTGTAAAAGAGCTATTAAACCCATTTTATGAATTAATTGTTGAATAAAAACAAACAAGAATGAGTCAGTGTAAGAGGAACATATTTGAGGAAAATGGTTTATGGATGCCAAACATTCAGTGTTTTATTTTCTATTTTCATCTGGTCAGGCATATGTGGGTAGGTCTTCCGGTGTAAGCCATTAGCATAGCT